GGAAAAGGAAAGGAAGACCTTAGATGAGATGGATCGGTTTTGTGATTGGAGTGGTAGGAATAAGTGTGTTTGAGACGGTGAGGTTGGCACAGAATAGAATTGGCATTTAGGGCTCTTGTACATAGGGTTGCTATGAGTCACAAGTGACTCGATGGCACATAACAACAATTATAAATTCTGATATATATATGTATTATATATAATTTATCATCTATCATCTATTATATATCTGTATATATAATTCTGAACTTATCAATACCACCCCATATAAGTCTTTTCATTACGTGTGTATGTGTACAGCCATCTTTGGTTCCCACCCTCTAGCATTATTTGGATTTTCACAGCTTTGTTACTGAATGCAAGGAGTTCTTTCCATAGTCAATTGCCAGTAAGACAGATGAATTGCCGTATCCATATGCACTTTATTACAGCTCTGGAAGGACAGTGAGTTCCCGTCAAAAACTGCCTCCCTCTCTAGGAGTGGTCATTAGGCTTTTATACCAGGGTGACACATCAACTCATTCAACAGTGCACCTTTGTTAGTAAAATCAAAGAATTTCCAGAACTGAAATAAAAGAATTCACACAGATACCAGTAAATAGGCAACCTAAAAGAGTTAACACATGACTGAGAAAAACAGGCCCTGACAAGATAAAGGCTAACTCAGGAAAGGCACACCTCCTCTCCCAGCAATCATGCAGATTAAGATACAATTTACATATGGCTGGGAAAAACTGTTTCAAAGATGTAAACACTGATCTAAGAGAGGTGTGCTTCCTCTCCTGGTAAACTGACAGATAAAACTACTTTCCATCACTGAAGAAAGCTAACAGAGAATCCTAAGGCAAAATAATTTGTTTTGCAGGCTGGGGAAAACTGATGTCAGTTTTATAACTAATATTTTATAATTGATACATATTTAGAGAATTCTGAATTTATTAATAGCACCCCATCAGCTTTAGCCACCTGTAGCTGGGATATCAAAAGAAAATTTGGATTAGCGAAGACTGCTGTTAGGGACCTCTCCAGAGTGCTGAAATCCAAACATGTCAGTCTGGAGACTAAGGTGCATAGTCTTTGTAATTACTTGCTATGCATTAGGGAGCTTGACAATGAATAAGGATGACAGAAGAATTGATGTCTTTGAGTTGTGGTTCTAGAGAAAAGTATTGAGTATACCATGATTTGCCAAGAGAACAAACAGGTCAGTCCTAGATTGGATGAAACCAGGTTCCTCCTTGGAGGCAAGAATTTTGAAGCTCAGTCTTGCGTATTTTGAGCATGTTGTCAGGACGGACCAGTCCTTGGAGGACATCATGTTTGGAAGGGTGGAGGGACAACATAGGAGAAGAAGATCCTGGATGAGATGGATTGACACGGTAACTGGGGTAATGGGGACAGGTGTGTCTTGAGATTGGCTCAGGATAGAACAGAGATTAGAGCTATTGTGCTTAGGGTTGCTATGAATCGCAGGCAGCTCAATGGCACATAACAAGAACATTTCCAAGTTTCTGAAAGGCAAATAGGTCTGGCCACTCAGCCTCTATCATTTGTTGTCTTCTTCCTGGAGTCCCCAGGTTATGCAGAGAGCTAAAATATTTAGCAGCTAGCTAAAAGATTAGAGACTCAGGTCCACCAAGAGACTTCCAAAGAAATGACTAGCAATTTGCTTCCAAATAATCAGCCATCAAAAAATTTTATGGATTACAGTTCTACTTTTCCCCACACAGTATCACTGTAAAGTGGTGGTCACCTGACAGCAACGGATTACTGATGGTCTTTTGTCTCCTGTGTCTTGCAGTCATCTCTAGCATATAAAAAAATCCAAAAAAACCCTTCATGGATTTTCTTTGTTGCCTTGAACTTAGCTCTTTAGAACACTTCATTGCTGTCATTGAGGACTTTGGAGAGAAAGGAGCCAACTATTTACAGACTATCTGGTAAATTTTATTGGAAATCCACCAGCCCTAATGAAAATTTTTGTGTACCTGCGGGAAAAATATTTCTGTTAATGCTAAGTTGGTGTATTTAACTCTCTTTTCTTCATCTGTTGAAAATGTAGCAGTTTAACAGAAAAGCTTTAAGTCTAGTTTATTCACCCTGATATGCAGATGGCTCATGTGAGGAAATTAAGACTTTAGAAATATTTCTGACTGAATATAAACAGTAAGATCTTTCAAACAGGCAAAAGTCTCTGACTCTTGAGAAATCCTAGACAATTTATGAGGAAGTAAGTCTTTTTATAGAGTATGAATGGTAATAGAAGAAAGAATAT